GCCCTCCCAAAATGGCGACGTGCAGGCACCCACAACTAAGATGGCTGCCGCTGCCTCAACACGTGGGCCTCCGACAATGGCGGCGTGAGGTAAAGTCGCCAAAGGCCAAGATGGCCGCCGCTGCCTCAGCACGTGGCCCCCAAGAGGGCGACCGTTGCCTGGCAACAGTAAACTAATGTCCGGCTTGAGCTCCCCAGGCGCTCGCGGAAACAGCAAAATAAAATTAACAAAAGCCCCAAATAGCGTGAATATGCAGTAGAATTCCCGTCAAGCAATTATCAAAGAGTAACAGATTCAGAAATACGATACCCTTCCTTGAGAGCCGTCGGAGCTCCGCTGGTGCCGGAAGGATCAAGGTCTCCCAACTGGGGAAGTATTGTTTTCCGTGCTGAGGATAAAAGGCTCTTGGTTGCAGGAGCGATTTGGCGACACAGGAATGAGCTAAAAGATCCAAGGAGCAGGCTGGAAAGCTTTCCCCACCGCTTGTAAAACTCCGCTCGGAAGGATACCTGATGCCCGCTGATAGAACTCAAAATAAGCCCAAGCTAGAGAAGAAAAGACCCCAGTGATTTCAGCCCCTTCCTTTTTTAGGAGCTGAAGCCCGAGGAACGAAAGAGAATAAAAAAGGGGGAGGAATTATTTCTGAAGAGGTCTGGCGCTGCGGCCGCGGCAATGATGGTAATATCCGAACGCAGCCGACAGATAGCCTGGCAAACGACGGTGCAGCCGCAAAAGAAGGCAATTGGAGCAGAGATAAAGACGATCGCGGACAAAAAATAAAACGAAGCAGCAAGAACGAAAACCAGGTAAAACCGTGTCAGCTGTAGCGAAGAAAAAGAGGAGGGGCCTTGGCTGCAGCTGAGTTAAATAGCCGAGGCCCCACCCCCAAGAGCCAGCCGATTGGCTGGCCCAGGGTGTGAGATGGACGGGGATTCCCTTATGTTATCGCAGGGGCTGGAGCCAGCCCCTGCCCGCAACCCCACCTCCTTTGCCAGCGCGGAAGTGGCTTTGTTAGAGACAGAACGCTGCAAGCATGCAGCTAGATTCTGTAGGTTTTCTTTTGTTTTCTGTATGCTTCTAAATAAACAGTTGATAGAATAGAAGCACTGGTGTCGAGTTGAGTTATTGAAGACACCACATTGACACAGACAAAGCCATTTTTATGCTGTGTATGAACTCTGCTAACGTCCGACAACAGCGAAGAGAGTACAGTGCACAGTGGAAGTGTGTGGGCGCCATAAAAACGTCGGAGTGCTTGTAAAATCAGACTAATTGCAGTGCCGAGGCAGCTGACTCCGTGGGTCAAAGGATTTATGACCCACAAACTTCAACAGCTGAACTCTCCTATAAAAGGAGACTGTTAAAAGCAAGATGTCTGCTCCTTAAAAAACGAAAGCCGGGAAAAGTCAACGTAACTAACAACCCTCATAAGCGAAAGTGGGGGGAAACGGAGAGACAGGAGAAAAAACATTTTCTTGGGGACCGCAGCATTACACAGACAACCTTTGTTAAAACACTCCACAAGGAGTTAAAAAGAGCATGATTCAGCACACCAACATTTGAGAAAAGTAGGACATTATAATTGAAAAAGTAAAAACAAAGTTTAAAGTTAAAGAAGGACTGGTACCGATTTAAGTAAAGACGATTTAAAATAAGACTGCTGGAGTCAATACAGACCAGTGAATAAAACTAATATACCTGTGTTCTAGTGAGAAACAAAGAAAATAACGTGGAGGTGTCGCCATTGACGGAAGTTGCAGAGAGCACAAACAGGAAAAGACGCCAAAGAGGAAACTTTGAAAGCAATAGAGAGAGGAGTAAAGGCGAGAAAAGAACGAAAGGAGAAAACAACAACATGTGTGGCCGATATAAGAAAGGACACAAGTTTAAAAATGTATGTTGAGACAATGGCACCACCTACTGGGCAAAAATAAAAATATAGAAACAGACACAATAATTAAAACGAGATTAAGTAAAGAATAGGGAACTGTAAAAAAAGGACTCTAATGCTTTCTTTGACAATTTTTTTTTCCTTTTTCTCTTCCCAACCAATAAAGTGGGAGAAAAATATTATATAACTTATAAACAGATGGACATATAGATGTCGGAAATCAAGCCTTTATCAGGAGAAACTGGCAACTCTCCAGGCACCCAGCTTGATCTCCTGTTGATCTCCCTGTCTGCATTCCTCAGCAAGATCCAGGCAGAGGTCGCGATAGGCGATCCTTCTCAGCGTGAGAAGAACACCCCCCCTCTTTGTTGCCCACCCTCGGCAGGGGAGATAGACAGAAACGTTTTTACATGCCTTTATTTCTGTCTTTGCAGCGTTACAAAAAACATGACTGCTCTCTTCAAACTCCAGCAGTCGAGAGACAAAACACTTCCTGTACAACTCATATTACACTCTGGCGGATTAATGGCGGATTAATGGCGGATTAATGGCGATTAATGGCGGATTTCCTCCATCGGGAGGAAATTTCACTGCGAATTAAGGGTCGGATCCCGCTTTCGGCGTAGCGGGGGACCCCTAAAAATCACAGGCGGGAGAAGCCTGTGAGCCTGGGACCCAGCGGGCACATTTGGCGCCCCCCCCAACCCGGTAGGAAGCCCGGCAACGGGCTTTGAAGCGGAGCGGGGAGAGCGCTGTGCTGTGGGCTGTCTGCTCGTTCGTGGTGTGAAGCCGCAAGCTGTTGATCGGAGAGCGCTGCCTTTCTTCCTTAAAATCCGGACCTGAAAATCAACGATCCGTGAGTAGGATACAACTTAAATTGGAACTGTATAAAATTGGAATCTGGCCGAAAACGGAAAGAGGCTTAAAAAGGAAGTCAGCCTCTTTATTTGTAGATAAAATAAAGCATTGAACTTGAAAGCAGAAGCAATTGGAAAGTACGTTTTAGCGGACTTTAATCTAATCATCTAACCTGGACTTTTCCCTTTGCAAATTGAGGGAAAAGGGGGAGAATTGTGGATGTGATTTCTCCATAAAGGGTGGAAAAGAAGGGATTGAACCACCACTCAACTCCCTGGGAAAGGATCTCCAGATCTCAGGAAAGAAAGAGAGGTACTGTCTTGCAATATATTTTGACAGCTAGTCTAGCACAAGAAATAAAAGTTTGGACAATTTATGTGAATGTATATCTCCTGGTCTTAAGTTAAAAATTTTGAATAGACTGTTTTCGTCCTGAATAAACTAGGGGGGCTTGAAAAAAAAAGGAATTAAAGTATCCAAGAACTTTTATGACTGTTACAGTGTCCCCCTAGTGGAACTTGGAACTGTTACAATTTGTTACAATTGAAACTGTAGCAGCTTTGAGGAGTTCTCACACTGCCTGGCTAGGAAATTTCCACTGTTTAACTTCAAATACGTGACTGACCTTGGCGTTATCTAAGGAATGGCAGAGGGGAAAGAGAAAGCGGATGCTTTGACCACAAGATCTGGGAAGATTCTTCGCACAGAAGAAGGATTACAAAGGAGAGCTTCGGCCTCAGGCCCTTCTGGAACCTCATCAACAACCTCATCGGCACAATCAAAGGTAAAAAGTACGACAAGTGAAGAAGCCTTTGCTCAGGTTTTGGCCAAAGTTAATGAATCTTTGAATAAAATAAGTCAACAAGTAGCAGAGGCTTCTGAGAAGATTGACCAAAATACATTAAGTATTAATCAGAATACAGCAAGTATTAACCAGAATACAGCAAGTACTAACCAGAATACAGTAAGCATAAATAATTTGGGCCAAAAAGTAAATACTAACACAGAGACCATTCAGAAATTATTAGAGGAATCGGCCTCAATTCGTCAGATTGCTGAAGAGGCTAAAGAAATTGCTACAACTTCTGCTACGGAAGTTAAAGAGGTTCAAGAGGAATTACCAACACTGCATAAACAATTGGAAGACCACAAACTAACTCTGTCTATGATAGATTTGAAGGAGAAGCAAGTGAACCTTCGGGTCAGATCGGTACCTGAGGTGGAAAAGGACAATCTAGCTGAATTTCTCACGCAGGAATTTTTGGACTTTTGGGATCCAGAATTGGTAAAAGACAGTTTCAGAATAGTAAATGCCTTTAGACTTGGGAGAAGAGGAGAGAAGAAGGTGAGAGACTGTCTGATTACTTTTCGAACAAAAGAAGAGAGAGACAAGATTTTGGGCCTACATTTTAAGAAGGCACTGGAAATCCATCGGACAAGGGTGGAAATATTCAAAGATATTCCGAAATATCTGCTGGATCTCAGATCAAAATATAAAGACTTGGTTACCCTGCTGAGAAGGAACAATATCAATTTCAGGTGGGAACTTCCTCAAGGCCTGTCTTTTAGCTACAAAGGAAAGAAGAGGAAAATAAGATCAGAAGACGACAAAGACAAATTTTGTAGAGACCACGGAGAAGACCTACAAAAAGAACTATTTCCGGAACCAAAAGACCTTTCGAAAGAAGGGATACCACCGACGGATGAGGAACAGGCACTAGGTGCAGTAGGAGGAGAACTAAAACAATAACATCATGGCCCTGCAACTTTTAACATGGAACTGTCGGGGTTTGAATTCCCCTCAGAAAAGGAAGTCAGTATTTCATATATTAAAAAAGGAACAATTGGACCTAATTTGTCTACAAGAAACACATATAACAAGATTACACAGGAAATTGTTGATAAACAAAAGACTTGGTCAGGAATTCATTTCGTCAGATAAAGTTAAAAAGAGAGGGGTTGTGATTTATGCAAAAGACAATTTATCACCAAAATTTGTTTTTAAGGATGACCAAGGAAGATTTGTGGCAATTGAAATTCAAACACAAGGAGAAAAATTTTTGATTGTAGGAGTTTACGCACCAAATGATGGGAAATCTGATTTATCAAGAAGTTGCATGAGACCTTGATGGACCATATGGATTACAACATGATTTTGATGGGAGATATGAATGGAGTGGTATCTACTTATATGGACAAGGCACAAAGACAGGTAGTCACCAAAGATGGTAGACTACCGAAAACCTTTTTTGACATGACAGACAACTTGGACTTAGTGGATATTTGGAGAATTAGAAACCCCTTGGCAAAAGAGGGAACCTTCTTTTCTGAAGCCAAAATGACTTGGACAAGAATTGACCAAATTTGGATAACTAGAGGAATGGCACCAAAGACAAGAAAGGTGGAAATCTGCCCGAAAATTTGCTCCGACCATAATGCTGTTAAGATGGAAATGAGACTAACACCAACTGGCTCCTTCAGATGGAAGATGAATGACACCTTATTTAGAGATGGAGAATTTCTTAAGAAGGCCCAAAAAACTTTAAGAGACTATTTTGAGATAAATCTCAGTTCCAACGTGGAGAAAAGAGTAATCTGGGACGCAAGTAAAGCTGTTATGAGAGGGTTCCTAATACAACAGAATGCGATAAAGAAAAAAACTCAAAATGAAAAGAAGGATAAAATTATGAATAAAATGAATGAATGTGAAAAAGACTGCGAGTAAATCCTAAATCTCAAGAGATTTTGAGAGAGTTAAAGTTACATCAAGTACAATATATGAAAATAATGAATCAGGAAATAGAGTGGAAGATTAAACAAATGAGACAAAAGACTTTTGAATCGGCTAATAAATGTGGTAAATTGTTGGCATGGCAAATGAAAAAGAGACAAAAATTAAATACGATTACGAATCTAGAAGTGGAAGGAAGGAATATACAGAACCCTGCAGAGATTAGAAGTTGTTTCCAGAAGTATTTTAAAAGACTATATACTCAAGGGCCAGTGAAAGAAACAGATTTAGACCAATTTTTGAAAACAAATGGATTACAAAAATATCTCAAGAAAAGAGACTAATTTTGAACGACAGAATAACTGAACAGGAAATAGAAGGTGCCATTCAAAATATGCAACTGGGTAAATCTCCAGGACCAGACGGCTTGACCTCTACATACTATAGATCTTTAAAAGAATGGTTAATTCAACCATTGAAAGAGGTCTGCAACGAAATTATGGAGGGGAAGAGGGCACCAGAGTCGTGGAAAGAAGCGTATATTACACTTGTACCAAAAACAGAGACTGAAAAGACACAACTTAAGAACTACCGCCCTATATCATTACTTAATGTGGATTATAAAATTTTTGCAGATATTTTGGCGAAGAGATTTAAGAAGGTGCTGTTGGAAGAGATTCATAAAGACCAAGCGGGCTTTCTCCCAGGAAGACATTTGTCTGATAATTTGAGGAATATAATTGATATTCTGGAAAAACTAGAAGTGAATATTAACACTAAAGCAGTATTGATATTTGTAGACGCGGAGAAAGCCTTTGACAATATTTCTTGGAATTTTATGAAGAAGAATCTACAGGGTATGGGGGTAGGCCAAGGTTTTGAGAATGGTATAAGTGCAATTTATTCAGAACAAAAGGCTAAACTAATTGTAAATAATGTTGTTACAGAAGAACTTAAAATTGAAAAAGGGACACGACAAGGTTGCCCAATTTCCCCACTTCTTTTATTTCGGTCCTGGAGGTTCTGCTGAATATGATCAGAAGGGACCAGATGGTTAAAGGTATACAGGTCGGAATTAAACATTATAAATTGAGAGCATTTGCAGATGACTTAGTACTGACGTTACAGGAGCCAGAATCTAGTACAAATGGGTTTTAGAACTGATTCAAGAATTTGGTCAAGTGGCAGGATTCAAATTGAACAAATCAAAAACCAAGGTTTTAGAGAAAAATTTAACACCGTTTGAAAGAGAGAGGTTTCAGAATGAGACAGGTTTAACAGTGGTCAAGAAAGTTAAATACCTGGGGATTAACATGACAGCAAAAAATGGGAATCTATTTAAAGATAATTATGAAAAATGTTGGTCAGAAGTGAAAAAAGATTTAGAAATTTGGTCAAATTTGAAGCTTTCACTGCTAGGCCGTATTGCAGCGATAAAGATGAATGTATTGCCTAGAATGTTGTTCTTGTTTCAAACTTTGCAGATTGTGGACAAAATGGATTGTTTCAAGAGGTGGCAGAAAGATATCTCTAAATTTGTCTGGCAGGGCAAGAAGCCTAGAATAAAATTTAAAATACTAACAGATGCAAAGGAAAGAGGTGGATTTGCCCTGCCAGACCTTAAACTTTATTATGAATCAGCAGCCTTTTGCTGGTTGAAAGAATGGCTACTTCTTGAAAACACTGACATTTTGGACTTGGAAGGTTTCAATAATGTATTTGGATGGCATGCATATCTATGGTATGATAAGGTCAAAGCACATAAAGCATTTAAAAACCACATTGTCAGGAAAGCGCTATTCAATGTTTGGTTAAGATATAAGGATTTGTTAGAAAACAAAACCCCAAGGTGGCTGTCACCAATGGAAGCGAAAGCCTTGAAAAGGTCAATATGGAGGTCAAATGGCCGAAATATTGGGAAATTTTGGAACAAGACGGAGATAGACTGAAATTGCAGAGTTTTGAAAAACTAAAAAACAAAGTGCGAGACTGGCTTCATTATTATCAGATAATGGAGGCATTTAAATTGGACAGGAAAATTGGCTTCCAGGTGGAAAGATCCAAATTAGAAACAGAATTGTTAGAACCCAAAACTAAGAATTTGTCAAGAATGTATAACTTGCTGCTGAAGTGGAATACTCAGGATGAAACGGTAAAATCGGCTATGATTAAATGGGCACAGGACGTTGGACATAACATTATGTTTGCTGACTGGGAACAGTTATGGACCACAGGTATGAAATTTACGGCATGTAATGCCTTAAGAGAGAATATTATGAAAATGATATACAGGTGGTACATAACCCCAGTCAAGCTTGCGAAAATCTATCACTTGCCCGATAACAAATGTTGGAAATGTAAAGAAACTGAAGGTACATTTTTTCACCTTTGGTGGACGTGCCCAAAGATTAAGGCTTTCTGGGAAAAGATATATAATGAATTTAAAAAGGTATTTAAGTATACCTTTCCTAAGAAACCAGAGGCCTTTCTCCTGGGCATAGTGGGCCAAATGGTGTTAAAAAAGGATAGAACTTTCTTTATGTATGCAACAACAGCAGCAAGAATACTCATCGCAAAGTATTGGAAGACACAAGAACTTCCCACGCTGGAGGAATGGCAGATGAAACTTATGGACTATATGGAATTGGCGGAAATGACTGGCAGAATCCGTGACCAGGGAGAAGAGTCGATGGAGGAAGACTGGAAGAAATTCAAAGACTATCTTCAGAAACACTGCAAAATTAAGGAATGTTAGAGTGATGTTGGATTGAAAATAAGTGGTTTCCAGCTGTACAGGTTAAAGTTAAGGATAGATTAAGATTAAAGATTAAGATTAAAGATGTTTAAAGAAATGGAAATTTGATAATAAAAGGGAAAAATTTAAAGCTATATGACATTAAGAGCAAGGATTAGGTTTAAATAGTTGAAGTTATATATTTTAACATTTTATTAAATTAAAGATTGGGATTAAAAAAGTGGAAAAGAAACTGCTGGACAAATAATGTGGATTGGAATACAAAAGAGGGAGGTATGAGGAAGTCCAGAAAATAAGTAATTTAAAATTGGGAATGGAAAAGAGAGTTTGTTTTTAATTGTTATGTTTTGTGATTTTATTGTTAAGTTTTGTATTTTTTGTGTGTGTGTGTTGTTTTTCTTTTTTCTTTGTTTAAAACCTTAATAAAAAATTATTTAAAAAAAAAAAAACCAACTCATATTACACTCTGAGCTAATTCCGGTGCCCTCTGTTTCCCACAGACAGTCCCAACATCATGTGATGTTTTCAAGCTAGCAGCTCGCAGCTGCATTGCTTCTATATCGTAACAATAAATACTCAAATTAAGGGAATTCCCTGAAAGAAGTAAAACGCCGAGGGGCGGGGGAGAAAAAAGGAAGAACAGACAGTGCAGCAGCCTGATGAGATCAAAGAAAACACCAGCTTTGAGTGGCGCTACCCCACTTCAAAATCACCCACGGAGAATATCAGTTGTAGAAAGTGAGAACAACATGGATATGAAAGAAATCTTAGGAGCGATGGAAAGAATGGAAAAGAATCTAGGGGAAAAGATAACATCACTAGAAGGGAATATAAAAATACTAGATGACGAGATGGAAAGTATGGGTGCCAAAATAGAAAAAAAATCAAGTGTAATAATGGACCTCTCAAACCAAGTAAACCAGCTGACAGTCAAACGTAAGAATCTGGATACAATGGTCCAGGAGACCAAAGTAAAGATACAGAAACAGGATGAAATTCTGAAAAAAAATCAAGACCAAAAAGAAATGAGAAGGTATCAAGAAAAGAACAAAGAAGAAATAGATGAGTTGAGGAAGATACAAGACACTTGGGATTCTTTGGCCGTCTTGGAGATGAAACAAAAAGAGATGATTCTCCATCTGCGTGGTGTTAAAGAAAGTCAGGATGAAGAAATACCCACAAAATTGACAAAAGTAATAGCAGACTGGCTGGGAGTTCAAGAACAGGAGATGATACTGGACATTGAAAAAATATTTAGAATAAGAGTGAACAAAACCAAAGCTAGAAAAGGACCCGGAGACTGTCTGATATTTTTGAATTCGAGACTGCTTAAAGAAAAACTTTTGCTGAAAGGTAGGACAGACCCACTTTGTGTAGAAGGGAGCCATATTGAGATTATGAAAGAGATCCCAACACGTCTGCTCAAGAGGAGAGATAATTACAGGTTTATGACTTCGGCGTTAAAGAAAAACAAAATAAGGTTCAAATAGGAATTCCCAGATGGACTATCATTCACATACAAAGAAAGGAGAAGATCTTTCAGATCGGTAGAAGATACTAAAATCTTCTGGAGGAATATATTGGGAGGCGTTGGGAGGAGAAAAGCTAATAGAGTAAAAGAAAGATAATACTGAAACTTCCTACTACAAACGACGTGATTTACAGACATCGGGTTTTTTCTGGTTGCAACCATACAGTATTAGATACAGAGAGATCATTTTAATTTAATAAAGAAGCATGTTGTTAAAATGTATTTCATGGAATGTAAATGGTTTGAATAGCAAACTTAAAAGAAATACAGCAGAGTGTATATTAAAGGGGGGAAAGGGGATGTTATCTTCATGCAGGAAACACATATATCAAAAAATCATGCGAGGGTGTTAAAAAATACAAGATTAGGACAAGAATTTATATCTTCAGGAACAGAAAAAGGAGGGGAGTGGTTCTCTACATAAATGCAGTGTTGAAGCCTCAGTTGTTATTCCAGGACGTGGAAGGTAGAATTTTAGGTGCAGAAATACAAACAAAAGAAGGAAAAAATATAGTGGTGGGAATATACGCCCCGAACAACAGAAAGGACGAATTTTTTAGGAATTTAGAAGAGAGATTATGGGACTATGTGAGTGAAAACATAGTAATTATGGGGGACTTAAACAGGGTGACATCTATAGAAATGGATAGAACACAAAGAGACAGAATATCTAATTCAGGCAGACTACCACTCTCCTCCTTTCAATTAACTGAAAATTTTAATTTATATGATGCCTGGAGAACAAAAAACCCAAGTGTTAAGGATATAACTTATTATTCAGAGGCAAAAAAATCTGGGGGACGAATCGATGCAATTTAGTTATCAAAGAAATCGATGTTGAACTTAGACAAAGTGGAAATACTGAACAGATCTATATCAGACCATAATCTAGTATCAGCTCATATGAAATTTGAAAGCCATACCAAGGGGAGGCAGAGAATGAATGATGAGGTATGGAGAGACGAACTAAGGGTAATAAAAGCAAAAGAAACATTGAAAGAATTTTTTGAAATAAATGAAAATCAAGGTACAGTTAAGAAAATAATCTGGGAGGCGAGTAAAGCTTATATGAGAGGATATGCAATACAACAAATGGGGAAGATAAAGAGAAACAAAGAAAATAATATTCTGGAGATAAATAAACAAATAAGAGAGAAAGAAAAAGAACTAGTAAAGAATCCAAAAAATGAAGACATACTCCAGCACATAAAAAATTTACAATCTCATTTATCCAATTTAATTAATAGAGAAGTTGAGGGGAAAAAATGTCTGGGCAAAACAAAAATAATTTGAACAGGCAAATAAACCTGGCAGAATGTTGGCATGGCTCATTAAAGAAAGACAAACAGAAAGAGTAATAAACAGAATTATAGATGAAGTGAAAGAAATTATTAAACCAGAACAAATTAAAGACAGATTTATAAAATATTATAAAAAAATTTATAAAGCGGAACATAAGGAGGAAAAGAAAATTCAAAAATATCTGTTGGAGAACAGCCTACCAGAAATTAATGAAATGGAATATGCCATTGTTGTTGTTTAGTCATTTAGTCGTGTCCGACTCTTCGTGACCCCGTGGACCAGAGCACGCCAGGCACTCCTGTCTTCCACTGCCTCCCGCAGTTTGGTCAAAATCATGCTGGTAGCTTCGACAACACTGTCCAACCATCTCGTCCCCTTCTCCTTGTGCCCTCCATCTTTCCCAACATCAGGGTCTTTTCCAGGGAGTCTTCTCTTCTCATGAGGTGGCCAAAGTACTGGAGCCTCAGCTTCATGATCTGTCCTTCCAGTGAGCGCTCAGGGCTGATTTCCTTCAGAATGGATAGGTTTGATCTTCTTGCAGTCCATGGGACTCGCAAGAGTCTCCTCCAGCACCATAATTCAAAAGCATAAATTCTTCGGTGATCAGCCTTCTTTATGGTCCAGCTCTCACTTCCATACATCACTACTGGGAAAACCATAGCTTTTACTATACGGACCTTTGTTGGCAAGGTGATGTCTCTGCTTTTTAAGATGCTGTCTAGGTTTGTCATTGCTTTTCTCCCAAGAAGCAGGCGTCTTTTAATTTCATGACTACTGTCACCATCTGCAGTGATCATGGAGCCCAAGAAAGTAAAATCTCTCACTGCCTCCATTTCTCTCCCTTCTATTTGCCAGGAGGTGATGGGACCAGTGGCCATGATCTTCGTTTTTTTGATGTTGAGCTTCAAACCATATTTTGCACTCTCCTCTTTCACCCTCATTAAAAGGTTCTTTAATTCCTCCTCACTTTCTGCCATCAAGGTTGTGTCATCTGCACATCTGAGGTTGTTAATATTTCTTCCGGCAATCTTAATTCCAGCTTGGGATTCGTCCAGCCCAGCCTTTCGCTTGATGAATTCTGCATATAAGTTAAATAAGCAGGGAGACAATATGCAGCCTTGTCATACTCCTTTCCCAATTTTGAACCAATCAGTTGTTCTGTATTCAGTTCTAACTGTAGCTTCTTGTTCCACATAGAGATTTCTCAGGAGACAGATGAGGTGATCAGGCACTCCCATTTCTTTAAGAACTTGCCATAGTTTGCTGTGGTCGACACAGTCAAAGGCTTTTGCATAGTCAATGAAGCAGAAGTAGATGTCTTTCTGGAACTCTCTAGCTTTCTCCACAATCCAGCGCATGTTTGCAATTTGGTCTCTGGTTCCTCTGCCCCTTCGAAATCCAGCTTGCACTTCTGGGAGTTCTCAGTCCACATACTGCTTGAGCCTGCTTTTTAGAATTTTAAGCATTACCTTGCTAGCGTGTGACATGAGTGCAATTGTGTGGTAGTTGGAGCATTCTTTGGCACTGCCCTTCTTTGGGATTGGGATGTAGACTGATCTTCTCCAATCCTCTGGCCACTGCTGGGTTTTCCAAATTTGCTGGCATATTGAATGTAGCACCTTAACAGCACCATCTTTTAAAATTTTAAATAGTTCAACTGGAATATCATCACTTCCACTGGCCTTGTTATTTGCAGTGCTTTCTAAGGCCCATTTGACTTCATTCTCCAGGATGTCTGGCTCAAGGTCAGCAACCACACTACCTGGGGTGTACGAGCCATCCATATTTTTCTGGTATAGTTCCTCTGTGTATTCTTGCCACCTCTTCTTGATGTCTTCTGCTTCTGTTAGGTCTTTACCACTTTTGTCCTTTATTATGGTAATCTTTGTACGAAATGTTCCTTTCATAGCTTCAATTTTCTTGAACAGATCTCTGGTTTTTCCCATTCTATTGTTTTCCTCTATTTCTTTGCACTGCTCATTTAAGAAGGCCTTCTTGTCTCTCCTTGCTATTCTTTGGAAATCTGCATTCAATTTCCTGTGGTCACTATCTGTTAGGTAGATTTATTGCTTTATTCTTGGCGTCCAGCACACTTCCCCCTGCGAGCCTCTGCAGGTCGTAAAGCAATTAGCAGAATTGCACAGCGTCCGTGTTGAAAGGGCAGTAAAACAAGTCCCACACGTTTCTTCTTTCCTAATAGCACTTTATTTGCTCAAAAGTAGCATATTTACAATCCAGAAACACCATCTGATTCAAGCTGCATCTTTTTTGCGTCCTTCTCTCAGCTTGCAGCTGCGCAACTAAGCTGCTTTCACTTTTCACTCAGCTCACAGCATTCCAAGCTGCTTTCGTCACGTCCTGGCTTACTTCCCTTGTAAGCGCCTCCTCTCAGCCTCGAGACACAGAAGGTTAACCCTTCACTACACCCAACACCCCCTCTTGTCTCGCGCCTGAGGGGAGAATCGACCCTTG